CTCCTCAGTTGCTAATAGCAATTCCCACCTTGGAGTTTACAAAGACTTATGGGTAGAAAAGCCACACTAAGTAATTTACTACACTGCACTATGTTTGAGCCCATTTTTGCAGCCACTGTGTCAAACCATCTCATTGAGGGTCTTCTTCTTTTTTGCTGCCCCTCTGCTTTACAAAACATGATGTCTTCCTCCAGGACATGATTTATAAGCTGTATTATAAATATGGAGTCCCTGGGTGGTGCGAGCAGTTAATGCATTTGGCTAATAACCAAAAGCTGGAGGTTTAAGTCTACCTGGAAGCTCCTCAGAAAGGCCTGGTGATCTACTTCTGAAAAATCAGTCAATGAAAACCCTATAGAGTGCAATTCTACTCTCACACACATGTGATCACAACAAGTCGGTATTGACTCAATGGCAGTTGGGTTTTATTATTATAATTACTATAAAAATAATAGGAATTCCAGTAGCATAGTGCCTAAGGCACTTGACTACTAATCAGATGGCTGGCAGTTCAAATCCATCAGTCACTCCTCAGAAGAAAGGTTGGGCAATCTACTTCTGTAGTGATATCGCCTCAGAAACCCAAGGAGGGGTCGCTATGAGTAGGTCTGACTCGTTGGCACATAACAACAACAACAACATAAAGATGATATATTTTTATATTGTCATAGAAGTAGAGTAATCTGTAGAAACTTTAGTAAAAAGAGGAGTAAATAAAACGGGGGCCATTTTGGGTGGCAAGCCATACATAGAAGCTGTTTCTATGGAACTATGAAGCAAAGAAAAATTAGCAAGCCCAAGACTGAAGAGAGAAAGTTAAGAGCCCAAATAATATACCGGGCTAATGCTAGAATCTTACATTCTATAGATTGGTAGTAAATTCTTGCTGCTACATGTATTCAGTTAAAAATAATAAATCTGTCTGAGATGAATAGAAAATTCTTTGGACCAAAACATAAAGAGAACGTAAAGAGCCAGAGACAGGAGGAATCACATCAAATACTGTTATGAGTACCTAACCCATTACTAGTCAAACAGAAATTAGGAGAGGAGTCTTGTATTCCCTCTATATGTCTGCATTGGGATTCTCAAATTATGAATGAATAAATGTATGAACTGATTACATAAGTGGGATAAGTGACAGCTTACTGAAACAGTCTATAGACATCCCTTGCACAAGATTTATACATAAACAAAAAGAGCAAATTAGCTATTCTTCTCCTAGTGGATACCATGGAGAATGTTCATTCATAAGTAGGTCTTCATCATCTCACAAATTGACTTTTGAGTTTCACCACAAAAGCCATTATTCCAGCCCCAGTTTCCGTTAGGAGAATTTAGCATAACACAACGCTCATCATGATTACTGGGTTCACCAGGATGCCAGAATCTGAAAAGGAGAACAAGAATGAGGCTATGTCTTCAAATTATACTTTGGAAAGGGTTAGAGACTGGGATTGAACAGTGTGGAGTCCAAGTCAAATATATCCAATTGTTCCTTCCCCAATTTCATGATGCCTTCCTTTGTAAAACTCTCAAGTTTAAGCAGCTTCTCCTTTCTCTGTGTCTCTGACATTTCCATTGAAAACTGTGTCCACATCACCCATTATCCTGCCACCTTAAGCAACCCAGGACACATTAAACATCCTCTATCAACTCTCCCAGAGGCTCCCATCAACTTGTTTGTCCTTCTCTCCTGTTCCTGTGGCACTTCCAGTCTTTTCTCTATATCCTGCTGTTGAAGTCTGAAGAACAATTTAAGATTTCTGAATCTACTACTTATCCCCTCTCATCTTGGGCAAATAATTTAATTTTCCTGATCCTTATTTTGCCTACCTAAAAGTGAAGATTAGAATAATATCCATATATCACACATAGTATGAGGATCAATTGTGGTAATGCATACTAAACTACTTTAAAGTTTATAAAGAACTACATATGAGAACTACAATAGGAATGATTGTAAGACTATCAGAATCTAACATTCCTGTTTTATGAAAAAATTTAATCTTATTAACTAATTATGATCTTAATTGACATAATTTAGTATTTTTATTTAGAAATATAAATATGGCTAAAAGCTCAGATTTGGGTGTCAAATAGAATTGAAAAAAAAATCCTAATAGGTTTTTTAGTTTGTTTAATAGCTGGTACCTGGAACATCCTAAACTCTAGTAAGGACTGTTGTTGTTGTCGTTGTTATGTGCCATCGAGTCAGCCCCGACTCATAGCGACCCCTCCTTGGGTTTCCGAGGCAGTATCACTACGGAAGTAGGATTGCCCAACCTTCCTTC